TTTGAACTCAGATATATCGGTACATTCACAGACTATTAGTGTATATTTGTTTTAAATAATCGATCATATGTCGTTTAATACTTGAGGGAAAACAGCACTGAATTTGGTGTCATGCGTCGTTGGATAGCCGAACCCTTTTCATCATAACCGTATTGAGCAGCGAGATAACATAATAGTTCGTGAAAAAATATAGGAAGTTTTGTATAATTGACTGGATGAAATCGATCTCATTGAAAGAGCTATCAGTGAGGTTGCGCATTACTTTTTCCAAATTCTCGTCGTATCCATTATACACCTTGCCCCCAGCCTTACCGTGACTGATATCCGAAATGTCGGTGTTTCGTTACACTTCTTTTTCACATTTGTGAACCTCTTTTGCCCTTCCGTCCACACCTCCGGCTATTACCCATCAGATATGAGAGATTACGAATTTCAGGCCCATTTTTGTGCCCCAATCTACGCATTTCATCATCGATATTGTACCGGCGAAGAAGGTGAAATTGCATTCGAGTTACGTCAGACCGGAACATGGTTAATGCTGGATCGTGTCAATTGTCGATGCCTCGGTGTGGCCGATGTTGAACGATATGGTTATAGCAAAGGTGTACTGCCCACCGATCGCGTGTTCCGAGGCAATTACATTCAAATGACCTGCGCTAGCCGGGTAAGCAATGAGCCTAGAAACAACACTGTTGGACATTTTGCCCAGAAATCTGTCCAGCAAAGGTGGACGCAATTTTCATTTTTTCGAATTACGAGCATTGCCAGACTTCGTGTTCATCCACATTATTCGATTAACTAGGAAATGTGATCATATAGTCCGATTAGTTATTAGAGTGGTTCACAACGAAAATTGAAGAATCTTCCAAGATCACAGCTTGATTATTATTATTAAACCCTTTTGCTGTTTAAAAAAAAAATGTTATATGAAAATTATCCATTACTACATAATGTGAAAATGGTAGTACTCAATGGATAGTAGAGCCAATTAAAAGANNAAAGATATATCACTAATCCGCTGCAGTTGATGTCAAAACAATTTGCTGATCTGTTCAAAAATAGATTATCAGTTTTGCTGTTCTTTACAGTGTGATGTATCCATATGGACAACAAATGTTCAACTGCCTTGTGTGTTTATTACTTTACGCTTTTAAAGTCACTGATTCACCGTAACTAAGCTGGTTAGAAAAACCAAAAGCACGGGTTTTCTCACGGTATCCTGGATCGCTTTGCTGCATATCTGTACGCATGCTGCAGCTTAACTCATTATTGATAAATAGTCAGGAAATACCGAATCGTAGTCTGATAAAGATTGCGATCAACCTCGCCCATCAAATCCCATTGCTACCAAGGAAACACCAGACTGATGAGCCATGCCGGCTGTTTATACAGTTAGAGATGATAATTTTGAATGGCTGAAGCCACGACGTATTTAAAGAACCTGGTTTTATTTATGTTGAACAGGACTGCGAATACCTCTCTCAGTAAAGCGGAGGTCCTCCTTTCACCGGATATTGAGAGATGGATGAACGGAGTTTCCCACGGGTGATTGGTGGCGTCACCTTTTTCAAAGTTTTTCCTTNTTCAAAGTTTTTCCTTATTGGTCTTTAAAGGCATATCGAGATGATTTCGGTTACTCGATATAGCACTACTGTCATATTCCTTCCGTTAAATAGGGCTGAGCCGCCATGCTTGGCTTGATAGATACAATTGGTTTTGTTTGGGGGGAGAAAGCGGTTCTTCAACCGAGGGTACTGCCAAGCAGTTATGAAAACAACGATGGTTTCAGCTGCATTTCAGGAGGGGTCAACGATCAGCTTCAAGCGCTTGACACTCAGTCATCTGATCCCGATTTCTTGGAAGAGGCGTAACAGAACCACCTCGTCTTCTTTGCATCTGATGTCTTTTCCCTTATATATTTTTGAGTGCATTGAAATGCAGCTATAGATGTCGGTTTCAATGTAACAATCTTCCGATCCTGGATAGTATCTTCTTTTGGCTAGCTTTGCGTCAATGGGATAAGGTTGAACTTGTACAAACGCTTTTCCATAAGCTGAGACCGTTTTCCAGTGCGTTTATGGTGGGGAGTACATATGTAGCCGTTCCATAGTCCAGTGTGCAAGCAGAAACGGGCAACGCGTAGAAGGCAGGCAAGCAGGCCAACAACTAGCTCAAGCGCCAACATCCGAGAGGGATCCAGCAGGTATTCAAACAGTGAAGGAATCAAATAGTCCGATACTAATATCTGATTGGTTGGAGTCGATCGATATTGTAATAGAGTCAGACTGCATGTCGTGAGTGCATGTGTGTGTGATAGCAAGCAACATCGGTCAATCAGTCTATCGATCCAACCGTCAATCAATGAGGTCACACGCATGCACAACATATCAGTCAATTGCAGGTCGCAACATCACCTCTCCTTCCAGAAATAAGCAGGGGATACATATTTCACAGAAGTAAAGCAACAATAAACGGAATACAATTATATTGTTATAATTTCAAAAGATGGTGCCCGGTCGAGGAAAGTAGTTTATTGCAGATTACAGTTAAGATATCAATAATTTGGCATACACATAACAGATATCTCATTTGAAACATGTCATCACAATTCCAGGCAGCACACAAAGTAATGAATAGAGCAGTCGATAGTTATTCTTTGGGGAACAGCAATTCGCCCTCAGTGGTCTAGTGAATTTTGATCGATGAAGAAAACCGCCAATCGCATTATTTTACATACTGCTCATAAATGTAAGTAGTACCTCACAACAATCTATGTTCGTTGTGTCCAAGCGATCTTTTGTGGTGCTACTCACTACACTGGTTGCGATTCAGCGGACATAGAACTATTGTTGATCTACAAATAGTCCATAAATTTACTCTGTTTTTATCACCCGTCTTGTCTTTGCTGAGGTAGGTTTTGGGAGACTCATTCTTTAGCAACGACATATAGAGATTCTTACATTTACTTTCGAACCATCGGTCAACGTATGAGTTCCAGGCGTACAAAAATTCTTATTTTTCACGGATGAGGTTAGCTTAGACTCATCTTTTCCCTTTTTCGATTGACAAACCCGCACATATTGCCCTTTTTTGAGCGGCTTCAAGGCACGATGATATGATGCTTGACATCTGCACCGCGTTTGAATTTTCTCTGGTTAACCGGTCTCTGTCGACAGAACTATCGCATTTAATTTTGTGCAGATTCGGCTGTCGAGCGTAAATTTCGCCGGCGTTTTGTTCGAGTAATGGAATGAGGAACTGTTCGGTAGGTAATTAGGGCAATTCAGTTTCGAAAATGCGTTAAAACCAACAAGCTAACGTAGCACATGACTTGGGTAATTGAGATATTTGGGGATTAATGAATCTGGACTCCGCAGCCAGGTCTATATGTATGAGTGAAGCGCTGAAAATTAACTGTAGCAAAAGTTTGCACAAGACAGCAGGTTAGTTTTTTTAATTATTTTTGTATAGAACAACAGGAGAAAAGGAGATGTAACTAGGCGTTTATGCCATTTCACTTTAAAACAAACAGTTTGGTGAAACAATTGTTTTTCAGTAATTCCTTCTTAANCTTAAGCCGTTTACAGATTACTTAGGTAACAGGGCCAGTTATCGATTGGTCTCGAGTGTGTTCGCCGTCCAGTCACCCAGATGTCGTAACTTGGTTAAACCAATCAAATGACAAATGCCAGTTGACTATGACAAACTCTTACTCATGATTGGTGATGTGTCTAACTGTGCCATCTGTTTTCTAATGTTACCTATGTAAACTGTGAATGGCTTGAGAAGGAATTGCTGAAAAACAATTGTTTCGCCAAACCGTTTGTTCTAAATGCTGTGATGGGAATCTTTCA